TACTAGTGTACTACAGCCGGCCGCGGCCTCGGCCGCGCGCCCTCCGCAGGTAAAACATGTCACGCGTAGGCCAAGATGCAGGGCTTACCAGTGGCGCGACCAGGGGGTGGGGGTGGAGCAGGGGGAAAGATCTGACCCAAATAATTCAAGCCGTCCCTCTGCTGCTGCTATTACTAGCAGAGCTAGGCTCCACCCTTAAGCAGCCCCCCTCCCCTTCCCCCCTTGCCGCCTGCACCCATTTTCCTCGGAAGACCAGGTCTGTTTTTCGTCACCGGGTGACGGCGCCGGGGCTGAAGCACTACTCTGCCGTGACGCGACGTGGAATGAGTTGGGGGAGAGAGAGAGAGGGGGGGGGGGCACCGCTGCGCCCAACCCGTTCCCCCCGGAACCCATTCTTACCTCGATGGCCCGCCCGGCCCGGCCCCAGCCCAGCCAGGCCCCAGCCCGGCCCGGCCCGACCGTTCCCACTCGGCCTAATCTAGCGCCCAAATTAAGTTGCGAGGCATAAATATTGCAGGGCAACACACGGAGGAGGGGTTGGAAGTTGGGCTCAATATGTACCCACCGGGACCGCGCCGCCGGGGGCCCGGTGGGTACGAGGAGCCCCGCCGGTACTCTGTTAACCGGACTACATTGTTTACAGCAAGTGCCGAATACAAGCCATGCAAACAGCATACAGCAAGTGCACTAAGTGCAGTGTGCATGTCCAAGCAGACGCGTTTTGAGCTCCAGATTCACTTAAAAGGACTAGAACGGAACGTGTGACCCCACCAATGGGTTGCTCTCCGAACGAGGAATCCATTGGTAGGGTCACACGTTTGGTTCGAGTCCCAATTAGCGACTCTGCAACTCAAAACGTGTCTGGAAGTTTGGCCACCTGCGCCGGTTTTCTGGCCCACTGTGCGCGTTTTTCACTGCATGAAAGGGCATGTTTGAGGCACTTACTGTCGGTGGACAGGGTAGTCCTGCCCCTGCATGCGTCGGCAAACTGACAGGCCTGCCTTCTCCCGGGCGGCCGGTCGGGCCGCGCGTCCGGCGAGCAGACAGAGCACTCTGCGTGCGCCAGCAGACTGAGAGTCGTCCTCGTCGCTCTGTCTCTCTCGCACTCACGGGGCGGCCCCTGTAGGTGCGAGAGAGACAGAGCGACGACTCTCAGCCGGCTGCCTCGGCTGACCTAAATGCGGAGTCGCCGATCGGAGGCAAAGGACTCGGCCGGACGGAGCAGTGCCGACGTGTCATCCAAAGAGTCCGATATAGCGTGCACGCAAACGACAGGCCATCGACGGGCACACGCCAGGAGTCTGGATTTAGTTCCGCAGTAAACGTTTCCCGGTAACGCACTGCTGTTTTGATCAAAGAATATTTTTCTGGACACAAAAAAGAGGTTCGGATCCAAATGTTAAAAAATACAATAAAAACAACAAATATAATTTTTCTTTTTGTTGATGCTAGGCTTGGTGTTAGCACGAACCACGTGGAGAAAAAAATTCAGCCTCCGTTACGCCCAACTAGGGCGTGATCCATTTGATGGTGAAAGCACAGTGTACCACGCGTGGCTGCAGCGAGGCTAGCGAGGCCAGCGAGGCCCCGTCGAGAGGCTAGGCTTTGGCGCTGCGCTGGGCTGCACTGCACTGCAGTGCGGGCCGCGGCAGGTATATTAAGGCACAATTGATGATGTCGGTAGTAATGGGGGGTGAATCGGAGGCGGACGGGGTTAGCGAGGCTAGCCGAGGCCGGCCGGCCTGGGGCGAGGCTAGCCCGGGGCGTGGCCAACGTCATTAATCACAATAACCGGCTTCGACACGCAGCCAATACAAGGCGCAAGACACCGAAAGGCAGACGGACAGACAGGCAGGCAGACAGACAGCACAGCGTGGGCCAGGGGACCGGTGGAGGCGGTCAAAATCCCGGACGCGTTTTGAACTCCGGAGGGATTAGGACTCAGGAGCTCAAAACGCGTCTGGACTTTTGGCCGCCGGCGCCGGTCTTCTGGCCCACTGCAGACAGATAGGCAGACAGACAGACAGACGGACGGACAGACAGACTTCAGAGACACCAAAGCACCGGCAGTAATTCCCTTTCCAAAATGTTGATTCCATCTTCGGGATTGTTCTCGTTGGCGCACACTGTGTAGGCCGAGACAGGGCGGCCCCTGCCGGGGGAGCGAGAGAGAAAGGCGCAGCACGAGCGGCAAAAACAAGGGGCGCATCAGTCAGGCGGCCGGGCCATCGGGGCCAGGGGGCCAGCGGGGCCGGCCTCGGGGACCAATTACATCGGCCTAATTTAGTGGCCTCGAGGCGCCTTGCGAATCATATCGCAGGGATAATCGGCCGGCCATTACGGATTGGGATGCAGGCGTGTCTCTGTTGTCTCTCTCGCACTCGCGGGCAAAGCCCAAGGCCTGCCCGGAGGCCCGCGCGGGGTGCGAGAGAGACAGAGCGACACTGTTGGGCAATGCAGCGAGCACGCAGCCGGGGCACGACGCACTTGCGTTGGCACGTACTTCCATCCCCATTCCACTCCTCTCTCTCTCTCTCTCTCTCTCTCTCTCTCTCTCTCTCTCTCTCTCTCTCTCTCTCTCTCTCTCTCTCTCTCTGGGGTGCGACCGGGATTTCACGATCCGCAGGGCAAGTCGATGACGAATGCTCGGACGAATGCACCAACAGACAGTCAGACGGAAATCCATCGTCCAGTTTAGTCAAATGCACCTCAGGATTGACCCTGCCCTTTTCAATTGTTTTATCTACTGACTTTCTTGCAATCCGCCTGTTCCCTGGGCCTCACTTTAATTCCACCTTTTCCGTCGGTCCTGAGGCGGAAAACCGGCAAAGTCCACCAATACAGAGAGAGAAGAATGATAATAATGCGGATTGGCTCCACGGTGCTCGGCATATCCCCCTCGGATCAAACTGCGACTCATCATGATTGAGAGTGCTCCGCAGCTCCGCCGCTCCGCCGTCAAGGTCGTCTCCAAGAAGGAGACCCTCCACCACACAGCCATAGTGCGGCCCCCGAGAAACCCCCAGGCGGGTCGCCCTCCAAGCCCGCATAGCTTGTGGCTCAGTTTCGAGACGTCGAATCGGTTCGATTCATCGAAGCGAAGATCGTCGGTGAAAAGGGTTGATCAGTAGAGTATCCTCTTCCAAACTATCGACTCTGGCTCAGTTTCGATACAATAAATCGGTTCGATTCATCGCAGCCAAAATCTTTGCTGAAAATTTTCAGGGCTGGTTAATACGGTTAGGTTAAACTGTGACTCAATTTCGATACATCAAACCGGTTCGATTCATCGAAGCGAGAATGGTCGTTCAAAAGAGTTGATTGTTAGAGTATCCCCTTTGAAAGTTTCGACTCTGGCCCACTTCTGATACATCGAATCAATTCGATTCATTGAGGCGAAAACCGTGGGTGAAAAGGGTTGGTCATTAGGGTATCCTCCTCAGACTTTTCGACTCTGGCTCACCTTCGATACATCGAACTGGTTCGATTCATCGAAGAGAGGATCGTCGGTGAAAAGAGTTGATCATGGGGTATCCCCTTTCGACTCATAGTCCCGAGCGACAAAGGAAAAAGAAGAGAGCGTTAGACTCCCACCCCTACTCCCCGCACGCATCTATCCATCTACCCATCCGTCTCCTTTACTCCTGCTGTGCACGCTGTGCACTTATGAAGCAAGTGAGACAGATTGCAGTGGGAGTGGGATGGAAGGGTGCGATCCCTCTCCGGGACGGCGGGGCGACGCGGGGCGACGCGACCACGGCGAGAAGAAATTATTTAAGAGGGAAGAAGACCTCGCTGCGTTGCAAGTTGAGTAAACTCCTAACTACTATCACCCACCTTTAATTAAGGCTAGAGCGAAGGGGGCAAGTTTCTTATCCAGTGTTGCCCTCCCCGCCTGTCTCCAAAGTCAGGTCCTGCAGACTGATTCCGAGAGTCGTCGCTCTGTCTCTCTCGCGCTCACCGGGCGACCCGTATAGGTACGAGAGCGACAGAGCGGCGGAAAAGACTCTCGGAATCAGTCAGCTGCGCGCCATAACCCCACAGCTTAGCGCGGAGACCCTCGGCTCGGCGCTGCAGCACGTCAAGTGACGTCATCTGACGTCATCGCCTTTGCGGTGTAGGTGCAGCAGCCACCTGCCGAGCAGCCGCCGTCGGTGTTTGCCAGACGGTTCACGCGGCTGGGTGCGAACGCCACGCTGAGGCGCCTGACCCCCCACCCCTTCCCCTCCCCCCACCCAATGCGGACGCTTCCCACGGACAAGGATTTCGTGGAACTGATTGGAGATGGCTGGCTGGCTTGGCTGGCACAGTCAGGAAAGGACGTTCAAAAATAACGAGATGAAAAAAACAAAAACAAAAAAATGAAAAAAAAATTAACACGAACCACAATAAAAAGCCGGAACGCCGCCTCGCGGCGCGTGTCGAGAGAAGATCAAGAGTCGCGTGTGTGTGCAGACGCACACAATCACACACACACACACACACACACACACACACACACACACACCAACACCCACACACACACACGTACGGGAGACGCGACACAACACGGAATCTGGCTAGGAGTCAATATTGGACCTTCGCTGCCTACCAAGTGCACACACATACATGCACACACACACACACACACACATGCATGCATGCAAGTATTCGTGGAGCGGTCCTAACGTTATAAACCGTACCAATCTCGTCCTCAACGGGTTCCAGAAAAAAATGGGAAAACTTTTAGTATTTTTTTAAAATTATTTTTTGTCGGCTGCTGTTAAATTAAGAGCCCAAGAGGTGGTTTCCCCTTTCTTTAAGAAGTACAAGTGGAAACTTTGTCGGTTGCAGGAGCTCCTCCGGGTATACCTCCCGTGCAGCTGCTTGTTTACAGAAAACAACCCTAACGAACTTTACCGCGCCCGCTTGTTTCCATGAGCAGGACCATGACGTGTGTGTGTGTGTGTGTGTGTGTGAGCGTGCGTGTGTTATTTAAAACAGAGGCTGTACAAGCCTACCTGCCCCGGCCTGCTGCACTGAACCGACGCGAGGGAAGACTGCGGTCATACCTGCAAACAGACAGAGCGACAATGGTTAGTAAGGGTAGGTCGCACTGCTACACTATCAAAAACGGACTCAAGGTGGAAACATAGCTTCAATACCCACAAAAAATCCCACAAAAAAAGCATTTTTTTTTGGCCGTTGCCACCTTAGCGAAGACAGGCAGGCAGTTTAAAATTAACGAGGACAGTGTACTAGCGCCCCGGGCGCCCCGCCACACAGGACCACAGGTCAACCCTTTCAATGTGTCTCGCCAAAGTGTCGCTGCCCCCTAAAAGCCCCGGAAAGGAAAATCAGTGCAAAGTGCACACAAACCGGGTTAGGACACCGCCGCCTTGCCTCGACCGTTATTTTTACGGCGGGGTCGTTGGGGGCACCGCGCCGGGGCACCGCCGGGGCACGCCGCGACGCGTCGGACTCCCGCTTGTCCCTGGAGGGGTCGCCCGAACGTGCACCGGACGGCCGGCGGAGGGGAGGAGGGAGGGGAGAGGGGAGAAGAGGGGAAGGGGAAGGGGAGGGAATCAAGGACTGCTATTGGTTCTGACAGCCCTCTAATGCCCTTGTCACTGATAGCAAGCGCCATACTAGGCCAGCAAGGGGCAGCGTGATCGCCGGAGCATTTCGGTTCACGCGGCGCGCCTTCGAAAAAGGGCGACCAGAAAAAAACAACAGCATCAACAACAACAGCAAACAGTCGAACAAGAACAGTATTAACAACAACAAAAACAAAACAAAAAACTGAGAAGACAGAGTATGGCGTATAAGCTTATAGGGGGGGGGGGGCCTTAATTACGTAACATGCTGTACACGACAGACTGCAGGGAAGTCCTTGTGTGTGTGTGTGTGTGTGATAGAAATAAAGGGTGTGAGTGTTATTACGATGAAAGAGGGAGGGGGTTGCCCTGAGGCGCGCGCCGGGATTCTTGAATTGTGGCGGTTCTCTCTCTCTCTCTCTCTCTCTCTCTCTCTCTCTCTCTCTCTCTCTCTCTCTCTCTCTCCCCTCCTGGAGGGGCTGAGATTGTGAGGCCGGGGTGAGCGCGAGGTGGTGTGGGGGTGCGAGGAGGGAGGAGGGGGCTGGGATATCAAGTGCTGACCACAAAGAGGACACACACAAGAAGTTGACCACGCAGGCCGTACGCCAGCCTGCCAGCCAATAGGGAAAGGGGGAGGAGGCAACCTTCCGGGAGAGAGAGAGAAGAAGTGGGTCAGGTAGGCAAAGGAGCGCGCCTCAGCAGGATAAGGGTAGGGAGAGAGAAAGAGAGGGGACCGGTGCAGCAGCCTCAAGGTGAGTAACAGAGAAAGAGAGACCCGGTGCAGCAGCCTCAAGGAGAGTGAGCGAGACGACGAGAGACCTGGTGCAGCAACCCTAGAGAGAGAGAGAGAGAGAGACCCGGTGCAGCAGCCCATCAGGCATTCTGCGTGTGACGCGAGAAAATACCTAATCGCCCAATTATCGAGTGTTCATTAACATAGTGAAGGGTGGCAGACGTGTGGCCAAGACGTGGAGGTGGGGGAGGGAATTATGGGAGAAATGGGCTGGGAAAATCGTGAGGAACGGGGAAAACGGGAAAGGCGTCATCGGAAAAACATCGACGACCCTGCAGCCAGGGGCCTGCAGCCTGCACAGTGGGCCAGAAGACCGGTGGAGGCGGTCAAAGTCCCAGAAGAGTTTTTGAGCTGCAGAGTCGCTAAATGGGACTCGAACCGAACGTGTGACCCGACCAATGGATTGCTCTCCGGACAAGAAATCGATTTGAGGGGTCATACGTTCTGTTCGAGTCCTGTTTAGCGACTCTGGAGCTCAAAACGCGTCCGGGCTTTTGACCGCCTCCGCCCACCGCGCCCCGTCGCGAGGCTAGGCCGAGGGAAAGGACGCTGCACACGACGTTCACGGAGGCGGGATTCGATGCCGCGCCGACATTGATTTATGCCGAACCTAATTAAACAGAGAAACTCTTCATCTTCTTCTTTCCGCCGCTTTCGCGAAGCCTAACCCTGCAACGCTCTAAAAAAAAAGATACAACAAACGGAAACTCCTAAAAAAATAAACGTCGCAGCTCATTTCGCGAATCCCATACCACAGTCACCCGGTTCGATTCCGCCTGCCCGAAAAAACAAAAGAATGTGATGGCCTGTCTCAGTCTCGGTCCGTCCCGGCCGCTTCATAAAGGCAATTATTGCCCCCTCGTGTGGGGCAACTCTCTCTCTCTCTCTCTCTCTCTCTCTCTCTCTCTCTCTCTCTCTCTCCGTCGTCCCGACAAAAGTAATAAAAACAGCTCATATTTGCGGAATGGCACAATTCCGCGCGGCTGACCCCCGGCGGGGTCCAGCAGACCGATTCCGAGAGTCGTCTTCGTCGCTCTGTCCCCCTCGCACTCGTGGGGCGTCCCGTATGGGTGCGAGAGAGACAGAGAGACGAAAAAGGACTCTCGGAATCAGTCTTGGGGGGCTTCCTCAAGGGAAAGCAGGAGGTGACCCCGGCAGGGGCCTGGCAGGCCTGTAAGACTGGTTCCGAGGGTCGTCTTCGTCGCACTCTGGGCCTTTCGTGTGGGTGCGAGAGAGACAGAGCGACGAAGACGACTCTCGGAATCAGTCTGCTGCCCGTTGCGCTCAAAGCGCAAAAGGATGAGAAATTCGTAGGGCCACTCGAGTGCGGCTCGGTGCTTGCCGCGTGCAGCGTATCCTTTTGGACCTCCCGCAGACTGATTCCGAGAGTCAGTTCCCCCCCTCAGTCTCTCTCGCACCTTACACTGGACGCCGCACGAGTGCGAGAGAGACAGAGCGACGACTCTCGGAATCAGCCCGCTGGCCCTTCCCCGGTCGAGCCCTACGCCGAGTTAGCGGTGTGGCAGCGCACGTTAAAGGGATAGATTGCCTGGCCGGGGCTACCTACAGTGTAACGGCGACCCTTTTTTTGACAACGCCGTTTACCCGCTGGAATGAACACAACACGCTCGTCCGCGCCCGGCTCGCCACGGCCCGGCTCGGCGACAAACAGCTCCGAAATGGGGTCGTTCTGCCAAACAGATTTGGCAGTGTGGCGGTGAGCGATGCGCCCTGCCTCTCAGCCGCTTTACGGGTCGGGGTGCTAATTGCGGCATTGCCAGCGGACTGAATCCGAGAGTCGTTTTCGTCGCGCTGTCTCCCTCGCACTCATGGGGTGCCCCGTATGGGTGCGAGAGAGACAGAGCGACGAAAAAGACTCTCGGAATCAGTCCGCAGGGCGCTGGACTGGACCGGCGGAGAGAGGAGGAGCGATGGCGCCAATTTTCGAAAAAAATTTGGGGAACCCCCCCCTGGCCCCCCCCCCCCCCTCTCTCTCTCTCTCTCCCCCTTTTTTGGGGGGAGGTGGGTCTCTCTGTCTCTCTCTGTTTCTCTCCTCCCACTCCCCTTTGTGGGTATGCAGGAGTGCTAAACACACACACACACACACACACACACTCACACACAGAGGCATTTGTAATCCAGCAACAGCAGGCGGCACGAGCACAGCAGCGGCGGCGAAGTGGGCGAGTGTGAATGATCGGGCGCAGTGCGAGTGGAAAAGAATGAAAAATGTCATTAATGAATGCGGCAATGAATCGCAATGAATGGCGCCGAGCCGCGGATGAACGCACAACGCAGCGGGGTGGAGAAGTGAGAAGACAGGGAATCAGGGAAATAATGAATCGCAGGGACGGGCTGGATAGGCTTCATTCATCGAAGGTTGAAGTAAGTGGGGAAATGAATGTACTGATTGAATTTGAACAGATGCATGCGTGAATGACACGACAGTGAAGCAACGTCGCACAGTGGACCAGAAGACCGATGGAGGCGGCCAAACCTCGAGACGCGTTTTGAGCTCCAGAGTCGCTAAATGGGACTCGAATCGACCGTGTGACCCCACCATTGGACGGCTCTTCGAACGAGGAATCCATTGGTGGGGGGGTCACACGTTCGGTTCGAGTCCCATTTAGCGACTCTGCTCAAAACCCGTCTAGAGTTTCGGCCGCCTCCACCGGCCTTCTGACCCACACTGCCTCGGCCCCCACTCCAACCTAAAGACTCGACCCGGGGCACGACATGAAACGACCTTCAAAATTCAAAACCCGAAGTCGGTGAGGCGTCGCCCGGCTTCTGGAGCGGCGCCCCGCCCCGCCCCGCCCCGCCCCGCCCCGCCCCGCCCCGCCCCGCCCCGCCCCGCCGCGGCGGCGCGGCGCGGCACGGCCAGAGCACGGCCGAGGCGGGAAGTGGGTGTCACAACAAAAAGCGACTTCTTGATTTGACAGATAAATAAGCCGAGTCTGCAAAGTGGAATTAGTCCCCGCCCCCGCCACTTTGGAAAGTTGGTTCCGTGTTGATCCGACAGGTGGCGGCACGGTCGTCCCCGGAAACCAGTGGCAAACTGGCGAGCCGTCCGGACTCCGTCTGTCTCCCTCGCACCTACACGAGCGCGACTGAGGCAGAGCGACGACTCTCGGAATCGGGCTGCAGCATGTGTGCTGCCTTATTCACTCGCAGTGGCGTGGCTCGCCCCGCCAGCCCGCGCCAGCCTGCGCCAGCCTCGCTGACGGACCGGTGCGAACGGTGCGGACCGGGTCCACGGTGCAGCATGCTCTTTTGCTCATTCCGCATGCACGTCGGCCGGGGCTCAAGTATTTATCCGGGTCGCAGTCAAAGTTACCCCGCCAGAAAAGCAAGGGGCGGAGGTCCAGGGCCGGAAGAAAGCGGCGTACAGTGGGCCAGAAGACCGGTGGAGGCGGCCAAAATCCCAGACGCGTTTCGAGCGCCAGAGTCGCTGAACAGGACTCGAACCGAGCGTGTGACCCCACCAATGGATTGCTCTCCGCACGAGGAATCCATTGGTGGGGTCAAACGTTCGGTTGGACTCCCGTTTAGCGACTCTGGAGCTCAAAACGCGTCTGGAGTTTTCGGCCGCCTCCGCCGGTCTTCTGGCCCACTGCGAAGTGGCCCGCCCCGCCTCGCCTCACCACCGGAATACCAAGTGCAGCCACACGACAGCCTCCAATTACCACCACAATTAATGGCGACGCGGCTCCGGGATTTGCATCGCCAAGCGTTCTTGCGTGATCTCGCCCCGAGGAATGCCAATCACTTCCGGGAAGGAAAGCTCGAGAAAAAAAAATGCGGAGACGCGGACGACGATGATGATTTGCAAATGGCTTATGCCCGCTCCTTGCCGCTCCGCGCTCCGCGATAGTGGGGTAGAGCCCGATGTGTACCGAGGAGCGGGTAAATAAGCTCACCGCCCTCCATTCTTCCCAGCCAGCGTTTTTTTTCCTTCGGTGAGGCTGGGCCGCGGAAAATACCCCAGCCCGATCCACAGCCCCTCGGAAGACGGAGCGGAACAAGAAGAAGAGGAAGGGGGAGAGCAAGAAGAAGAAGAAATAAAGTATCGAGCAGAGAAAATAAGACGGCCAAACTGGAGTATGAATGCAAACATCGGGAACGGAGCGCTGCCGCGGCGGTACACGCTAAGATTCGATATCGTGACTTAAACGGGAGAGGCGCTGAGCCTCGCGACACGCGCTGCGGCCTGGAGAGACAAATAGAGCGAGAGAGAGAGAGAGAGAGAGAGAGAGAGAGAGAGAGAGAGAGGAGAGAGAGGAGGAGAGAGAGAGAGAGAGAGAGAGAGAGAGAGAGAGAGAGAGAGAGAGAGAGAGAGAGAGAGAGAGAGAGAGAGAGAGAGAGAGAGAGAGAGAGAGAGAGAGAGGACGAATGGCGCGTCGGGGCGTGATAATTCGCTCGTTACCGAGAATACTCTATCCTTCCGCCTCGCGGACAAAAGGAGCGCGCCTCTCCGCGGCCCTTTGTCAATCCCTGCCGCAGGGCCGGACCGGTACTCGCCCGAAAAAAAAACAATTTTTTTTATTTCGTTTGTTGTTTTTTAGCCGAATTACGCGCCGAGTGTAAAGGACAAGGACAAGCGCGTCTCTGTGTCGGTCTGTCTCGCTCTTCCTGGAATGGAAGGAGACATCATCGGGAATAAAACTCACGCACCTGACTCCTATTTTTTCCACAACTTCCACCGGCCCCCCTGTCAGCCCCATCGCTGGCGGCTCTCTGAATCGCACCGCGACGGCAGACGACGCGACGACGGCAAGACAAGTCTCCCCGTTCCGTCCACCGCATATCTTTTCGCGATTAATAATGATAATCATAATAACAGAAATGTTTGGAGCCGTCTGCGGCGCGAGCGACGGGGCGACAGATGCCGGCCCACATGCATATGCATGAGCCCGTCCAAGTCGGCCGCCGCAAAGCAGATCGTCGTCGCTCTGTCTCTCTCGCACGCATTCGGACGCCCCGCGAGTGCGAGAGAGACAGAGCGAGACTCTCGGAATCAGTCTGAAGATTCAAGCGGAGGGTCCGGACCGACGGGGCGACGTCCGTCGAATGACGAAACACTGTTTTGCCGAGTTTGGTATTAACTTGATAACCGAATTTGCGGCGCGAACCGGGCGAACCAGACCACCGGGCGGACCGGGCGGACCGGGCCCAGTGTGACAACGCGCAGCCACGCGCATCCACATGCGTGCGGGATAACCGCGTTAAACCCTCACGCCACTTCAGTGATGTGGCCGCATTTCCTACGCAGCCCCGTCAAAAATGAATTCTGGGTGTTTCTAGTGTCCGTGGTTGGCAAGCCATTCCGCCACCACTGATTGAAACGAATTTTGTAGTAGTGTGCAAAGCGGCATTTTCCAATCTAGAATCAAATCGAATCTGCACATAATTTTTTTTTAAATTTTTAAATTGTACGTATGGCATTATATTTTGTGAATTTATTTGAATCAGATCGCAACTTATTAAGTTTGACTTATTTGTGCCCAAAATAAACAAAACGGGCCCCTTGTTTTAGTTGTTTCGGACTAATTAAAGGACTCCAACTTGCAGTTTTATAAAATTTGGAGTCGCTTTTTAACCGAGTTGAGCCACCCCCACACCTTTAGGTTCGATTGGATTCGGTCTCATTCACACCTCTTTTTGTGATTTTTCTTGGCTGGGTTGGCAGCACTGCGCTGCGCTCAGACATGCAGTGCACATGCCACGTGGTGCCTCGGCGGCGACCTCGCAGATAACTACACAACAGGATGACGTCCTTGATGACGGCCTTGTCAACGTTCGCGGGGAGAGACGTGTTGGCGGAAATAGGCCGGCCCGATGCTGGCCGACAAGGCCGCCACACTGCGAAAGGCGTAAAACAGTGGGCCAGAAGACCGGCGGAGGCGATCAAAATCCCGGACGCGTTTTGAGCTCCAGAGTCGCCAACCAGGACTCGAACCGAGCGTGTGACCCCACCAATGGATTCCTCGTTCAAAGAGCAATCCGTTGGTGGGGTCACACGTTCGGTTCGAGTCCCATTCAGCGATCGGGATTTCAACCGCCTTCTGGCCCACTGTGCTTAACCGGCAGTTCCCATAGTGGTGAAAAGTTTTGGGCAGCCCAATCGTCGACAGTCTGAAACCCCGACAGCGGAAATCGGCGCGAGTCCCCCCCACCGCCCCGGTTGGCAGGCCTGATTTGGCGGGCCGCACCGACGGAATGGCTGGAGACAGGTGTACCAACACCTGCGGCACCGTGGGAATCACAATCCTCTCCCTCCCCCCCTCCCTCCCCCCCCCTCCCCCTCCCTCCCTCCCTTTCCCCCTCCCCCTTCTCTCTCTCCCCTCTCCCTCTCTCTCTCCCTCTCTCTGAGAAAGAGTAGGCTGCTCGCCAGACGTCTAGTGGTGTTATAAAGCTATTTCGAAGAAGCTTTCGCAGTGGCGTCGTTCCTGGCTCGGTTCGCCAGCAGCCAGCAGTGCGCGTTCGCCTCACAGTGGGCCAGAAGACCGGTGGAGGCGCCCAACCTCTAGACGCATTTTGAGCTCCACAGTCTGAAGCTCCTCACTCTGGAGCACAAAACGCGTCTCGAATTTCGGCCGCCTCCACCGGTCTTCTGTCCCAGTGTGAATCACTCACCGGGAGTCGAACCCATGCGCGGGCCACCCGACGCCCAGCGCCCAGCCCGCTACCAACTGCGCCACCGCGCCAGCCGACTGCGCTCGTAATTAGTCCACCAAGTTTTAAGCGAGGAACGACACAAAAATTGAAACCATCGCGCTGCCGCCGCGCCGCTCGGCGCACAAGGCCTCAAACGCGGTGGCGCGCCACTGGCGGCAGAAGACGGGGAAGTCAGCGACAAACTGCGCCTTCCGAGAACGCCGACTCTCCGCCGAGTGTGCCGCTCAAACTGTCTCCAAGAGTCGTCTTCGTCGCGCTGTCTCTCTCGCGCTCTCCCGCAGAGGTGCAGGAGAGACAGAGCGACGAAAACGACTCTCGGAATCAGCCTGCTCCCCCCCCCCCCCCGGGCCCCGCAGTCCGCAGACAAGGCGGCGGTGGGACACCACCGCACCGCGCCGAGCCACGCCGAGCCATCCGTAGCGTCAA